ATACATCGAACGATAGAACCCAGGACCTTCAGTCTCGCACATAAACACTCAACTTCTAAAACTTATGAATATTCTATGATAGTCGAAGAACCCTAAACCAATAGTAATAATAATAATGTACTCACTACTGACTGTCATCTAGACATACTTTCTGCAGTCCTAGTGAGAAGCCACGACCAATGGAGTTCAACCGCGTCGAGTGCGAGATAGTTATCCACTTCAGGCAACCGATTAGGGTTATAAAATATTATGAATTGGTTGGAGTTAGACATTGACGCTGCTGAATGCCGTTTCAGGGGTTTAGAGGTTGAGTGCTTGCTCGTGAGACAGAAGGTTCTGAGTCAGAATGTCAGCTACAGGGTCGTGGTTGTACACTGCTAGAGAGCGTCATACTCGGCCTCCAAGTGCCTCCAGTTTTCCTATAGTGGTCTAAATAAGATCAGTCCGTGATTTGAACTATGAAAATAAATCTTAAACAAAATGACCTTTCACACAAAACGGTAGTCTATTTTAGACCATAACCAATAGTCGATGAATATAATTGGGGCTTGTTCAATTTTTCTCCCAACATCAATATATATACATATATATATATGTAATCATTTGAAGACAATCAACAGTTATAAGTGGACAGTCAGATATAGGACTTCTATTCAATATTAAGTAACCGAGATACCCGAGCGAAAGAAAAAAATGAATAAACGACTGGACACAACTGTCAGAATCCATTAAAAAGTAACATTTATCTTAGTTGAACGAGGTTTATAACAAAATATGCCAAATGAAATAATAACATAGATACACATACACACATACTAGACAAAAATTATAAGTTAGCAAAAAGGTCAAATTATGCGAGTTGACAGATAACTGTAGTAGTTGAAAGGATAGATAGATAAATGGATAAGCTTAAAATGAAAGTAATCCTTTGCAAGTTAAATTAGCAACACGAAGTGGGTTTTACATTGGTTTCGGGGTAGTGAAAAATGGATTTTAAAGATGAAAACAGGCATAGATTACTAACTTCTAACCATACTTCTTAACGTACTTTTAATTGAATATTATAGAACCACCAAGTGTAATACTGCTTATAAAACTAGGAGGATACTAATAAGATATAGTAAATACACTAATCCAACTACGGAACCTATGCCGAACCTATGTCAAAAAAGTCCTTTATTCTAAATAATTCTGTCAATTGAATAGATTCATGCACGATGAGTTTAGAATGAAAGAAACCATAGGCCAAAGCTATTGAAAGAGCCTCGAAATTACCGATCTTTTGTTAGTTTATTGTGGTTATAACAAATAAGCAAGTCTTCAATAACTTTAATATTACAATGCTAATAGCTATCACTCTTTGACTAGTTGTTTCCTATTTTAGTTTACTCATTAGTTGTCTGTTCTATCTAGCTTTTTTAGACCACATTTCGTACTAGAAAAATCTTTCAATCGGAATAATCAAGTGATTTTCTAAGCTAAACAAGTGTTTGAATCATATTAACTTGATTGTAAGACCGGGATAAATAATGTCAAATTACGTAGATTATTGGTTTTTTATTTTTATTTATTTTAACACATAGATATTGGTACAAGGAGGCACCAAATACATATGCGCCACACAAATCTCATTATTGGTTGATTGGTATGTAAACCGAAAGTCACTTTGTAGAGAGAAAAAACCCAGTTGAATATTCATTTTCAATTATTCAGATATTAACATTTAATATTTACCATTATTACTATTGCATATTGCGAAACAAACCATTTGTTGACATTCTAAAATATAAATAAAGGCTTTGGATTATTAAATATTTCACTGTTTTATGAGATGGAAATCGTAAACAAAAACGTAATAGAAATTGGATAACATTTTATTACAACTCAGAATGATTGAATTAGTTGAAGTGACTTGATTTATTTCAAGTAGCAAACTACTGATTATTGCCAACTAGTCAAAAAACAGTGCATGAGTGATACTCATACTGTATTTGCCCATACATATGCGTGTGTCCGTGTATGATTGAATCAGGAAATGAGATGATAATGAAGAGAATATTGAATTTATTTCAAAAAAGACCCTTTTTCAGTGATAAAAATAGTTGAGGAAAATACTCTCTTTTTATTATTATGTAAAATTCGAGAAAACACAAAAATCCTTTTCATCTGGTAACTGCACGGATCATGATTACTTGACCGGTCTGTTTTGATCAGCTAGTGACATATTGAAGCTGACAGCCTGGAGAATCAGCGACTTTGGGTGTCAGATGGTAACATATCGATAACTATCAGTGTCCGTCATTCTAATACCAAAAATTGACTGAAATATGTTTTCAGCGATTATATTTAACAGGCATATTTCAAATGTAACTAATGGAGTAATACCATATCGGTGAAGGCAATAATTATTTTCCATGTCCTATCAACATCAGTCTAAACAGTCAGACAGTAGTACACAAACGCACAAACCGTAGTTGAAAGTCGGACGCATCAATTCGTATTAATATCAGAGAAGGGTTTTGTGGATTATATGGTAATTTAGTAGTTGAATTCATGAGTCAATTGAAGCTAGATCACCATGTAAAACCTAGAAGCACTGGACGGCCGATTCGTTCTAGTATGGGTCTCCTTAGCAGTGTTCATCCACGATCTCGCCTCGTGAGACTCCAACTCAGGACCTATCAGTCTCGTGTGCGGGCGCTTAACCTCAGCAGTGGTTTAGGTTAAGAAATTACATTGGCATGAGTGGGTATTCATTTTACCACCGCTTTGGTTGGAAAAGACTAGTTCAAAGGTAATTATTATCATGGATTGAGTCCATCACACCTTTTGTATCTATATGAAATCCAACCAATACTATTTATGCATGCATACAGTTTGACTGTTCAAATGGGAGCAGGTTATGGAACCTGTGACCTAATTTACAATGCGTTAAAAATAATTATATGCCTAGACAGCTGACCCATTAGGATTAAAGAAGTAATCAAAAATATAGAAAAAAAAGCCTTAGGAAACATGTCCCATATTTAAATGATAAACTTGAATTAATTTCTCTAATTGTGTTTATCTTTTTTTGCTCGTTCTAAAGAAAAATTATTAAATAACTATGGAAAAACCAAACTTCATTGACACCTTTATGTTACATCCCCTTTTTATTAATCTTTACACTTATTGATATTGATGTATCTTCGGTGTTAAAAGTGAATTAATGGATTAGTAAATTTAATTAATGCAACATGATTCATTATAATCAGAGAAAAGATGGATTATTTTAATGTTTAAATAGGGTGGTGAATGTGTGTCATGTTGATTGATGAGAACAGTTGTGCGTGCATGTGTAGTGCCAAGGCGATTTTCATAATATACTCTTACATCAAGTAGAAAAGTAGCGAAAACAATGACAAGTGTCTCCATTTATGACTACACAAATGATAAAAGGTCAAAATCTTTGTGGTTTCACAATTCCGGTGAAATACAAGTGAGATATTTTCAACATCAACCACTTTTTTTTAAAAATATAGATTTGCAATCTGCATGGTGAATAGACTAAGAATAATACCAATGACATCTACTATGAAATTTATGATTATGATTGAGCTACAACATAAATCGACAAGATGTTCAAAAAAAAGAGTTCAAGGTATGTTTACTTCTATTAAAGCAATTTCAATGACTCCTCATCCCATTATCACTGTTCATAATGAACGTTACTTACAAAATTATTGTCGTTGTACAACCAAGCTATTAATTTATATCGATAAGAAGTAGATATAAATATCTGAAAGATACATCTGCAACATTGAACTTTTAATATTCTAATAGTTGAAATCATGAGTCGATTGAAGCTAGACCACCATGGAAAACCTGAAAGCACTGGACGGCCGTCTCGTCCTATTGCGAGACTCCTCAGTAGTGCGCGTCCACGATCCCGCCCCCAGCGAGATCCGAACCCAGGACCTATCAGTCTCGCGCCAAGCGCTTAACCAACTAGACCACTGAGCTGACTGGCATCCAACGGTTTTAGTGTCTGACTTCAACCAATCCGCAAAGTTGAGCCACCGTACACCATTGTCTTCAGTGAGTTGATATCTCACAACAGACCTGGTTGAACTCCACTGGTCACGGCTTCCAGATTTTTCATGGTGGTCTAGCTTCAAATGACTCATGGTTTCAACTATTGGAATTACTAAAATCTCCACAAAACTCCTCTTGATTTTAATATTTCAGTGAGTATTTTTTAGATAAATCAAAGTCAATAGTTATTGTAAGAGATTTTTGTCGTTTCGATTATTATCAATGACGTCGGGGTCATAAAACAAACAAATACAGGTGAATAATATTTTAGTTTGTTTTTTTTTTAAAATAGAAAATCTAAGATAATAGTTGTTAATGTTCAATGTATTGTAAAGTCGATATAATGTGTGTACAAATTACTATCTGTAATCATTGAATGAAAAAATTCAAGATTGTTACTTACATTAACTTCAGACTATATATATATATATATATATATATATATAGAGAGAGAGAGAGAGAGCTTCAAACGTCATTAAATTACTTAAGAAAATTTAATCTTACAAGCAAAAATAAAATCCGAATCGATTTTTTCTAAAAGACTCGCCGAATGCTCAAGATTTTTAGGAAGAGTGAATAATGAACGCAACTGTGTCATTCTTTTGGAACTAAGCTATTTAAAAGCAGTATAGCTAAATGATTTATAATGTAATGTTCATTGACTAAAAGCAAATATCTATACTCAACTTGGTTAATGATGCCATCCGGACACCTAAACTAAAATGGGAAGAATGTGATACATGATTTCATGTGATTGTGTATACCATGACTAATTATCCCTCCTGAGTGCACTTATGTTCCTATTGCAGTCAAATCTTAAATATATCATACGAGAAATATCAGAAATATATGAATAACGGGAATAACTAAATCTAAAAAATATTACATAATGAAACTGATATATATATATATATATAATCACTTACATATATGAGAATATACAAGTGTCGCATGAAAGTATAAGCTTTGTAGGTGTAACTCAGTAGAATTGTTTCGTAGACTATTAAAAATTCATTTTCAATAACATGTTAAATATCCACGTTAAACAGTCAAATAATTTCGCCTTCTCACTCCGTGTACATATTTATCAATTATGAAAGTGATTAACTAGTATTCTGTTGATTTTAAACAACAAAGATGGAAATGAATAAATCTATTCAGGTGTAAATCCTGTATTGCCAGCGTCGTTTGTACACACACGTATCCACATAAACAAAACTATGATATGTTATTTTCAACTAGTCAGTAGACATATAAAATTTAAAATCAAAAAGGGTTTAATTTTTCAGCCAATCAAAACCAGAAGCTTTATTTAAAGTGTTCTAATGTTTAGTTGACCTTTGAAACGAAGATGTGGGAATAAGGTGGTGGTATAAGAAATCTACTAAATGGAATGTCAATCACAATGACATTTTACCGTATGCATCACTAACATCACAATCTCCACCCTATAGCAGGTTTTGTTTTTTGATTGGTTAGATTGGTGCAGAGAATTCGAAACTTACTAACCAATCAACGTTGAGTGAAAATTTTAAAACAAAAATGATGGAAGGAAAACAACTCGAAATTTCAAGAAAGAAGTTGCAATATTGCAGTCAATTTCTTGGTCATACAGTTCCATCTATACACTCGAGTTTTGTAAGTAACCACAACCCTCAAGTAAACTCTTCTACACTTATCGCCTTCGGATTTCTTTTATGGTTCAAGTGATATTTGAACTAAGAAGCTGTTAAGAAGTTAGTCTCCAAACGTTTAAACCGAACTCTTACTGTAACGAATAATATTCACCGGATATCGTGTTGTACAACTCCTCAACTAAAAAGAATGTAAACAAAATTTGCATTACATAAATAAGATATAGATTGTCTAATTAAGTAAAACAAGCAAACGGACAGGAGGTAACTGGTTGCAAATGACCAAGTCCATTGGATCGATTTAAGTATAACTAAAAGTTGACCAATAAAATATATTACGTCATTGAATGAAAATTCGTTAGTATTCGCCTAATTACTACTTGATAAATTAATATTATAAATCCGAAATTAACTGAAGAGGTTGTAAAAAAACAACGTTCTATTAAGATAATGATTTTTTTCTCAGTTCAATGCTGTTTTAAGGAACACCAAAATTGTGAATGTTTTTACCAATGGTTCGCACCATTTGTATTTGTATTTGTAGACATAACAGCTTTGCTCTAGCTTGAGAGATTCTAAACATTTCTGCACAAACAACTGTTTCAGGAATCATAATCAAGAACCTTCGACTCTTACAACAGTTGACATTACGCTTAGACTATTGAGTTATAATTCAATGATCTATATTTCCAAAAGTCGATTGACAGATATTCGTTCAGAGAATTAATTCCGAATATTGATGTTATCCCCATAAACCATTAAAAATTTCAATGTAAACAAGAAAAGCTGCATTATAGGTTCGCTGAAGTAATCCCAACTTGTATTTAAAATAAACTTTAAAATATTATTGGATCATACTTTCAGGAAAAGAAAAGTTTCACGTTGAAATTTTACAAAATTTATACAGTTGTTTCATTATAACTACATGCATATGTCAACTGCAAAATAAAACTGTAGCAATGATTAAAGTACTTGATTTTCGACAAATATATCGTTTGTTCAAATCATGGTCTAATTTGGTTTCTGAACAGTTAAATAGTATAACCCACTTATATAGATAGTGTGAATCGAAACCAAATCTTTTAATCTATAACACCATAAGGAAGTTACATTACAAAAAAAGACGCCAATAAGATTTAACAATCATAAATACTATACTCCTATTAGTACAATATTACTCAGTAACACAATATATCCTTTTGGACTAGGGTAATTTTAAATTGGTTTTTATGAGGCATAGACGCTATCCGGGCCTTAACGTTAGAACTCAAATACCACAGCTCAATCATGTGGCACAACCACACAAGTACCCAGCACCCTGATGGACCTATTTATGTAATAGAATCAGCAAATATTGTTAGCTTTTATTACAATACTGTGGTTATTTTAAGTGCATTTAAATTTACAATTCTGAACATTCAAACCAGAAGTGAATATTGATATAGAAAAAACTGAAAAAACAAACAGAGGAGCTAACGTACACAAACAAACACATTGATCAACTCAATTTCCCACATCTCATATAAGAACAATAAGAGAAGAAACTAACCATTTGCAAATAAAAGAAAAAATTTAAAAAAAATAATAAATCGGTTGATGATTGTAAGACTTTGTAAGTAATGAATGAATTTAATGTGACTGACTGAATAGCTGCGAGTACCATAAAGTTTGTTACAGCGTTAAGATAAATTGTGATAAGCCTGACATACATTTAATCTAAGATAAAAATTACTTGAAAAGTTAAATTCTCGTTGTATATTATTACGACAGAATGCAGTATAAAGATTATTTATGCAAATAAACAAGTTTACATAATCATGTACTTAATTGTATGCAGACTGTAAGTAATTTTTAAGTTTAATTTCAGTATACTAATTTCATTTTGAGTAAAATTCCCACATACAGTCAAGATAAACACAGTCCATTGAATCTCGTATATACCTTACTAATATATTAGATGAAATTGGTTATGTGGTTGGATTAGATGTCTCACTTAACAGAGTAGTCAGTTCGAACATGAATTGATTTATTTTGAAGATGCTAGATTCCCAGAAATCACTTGGCATATGTCTTATTCTTGTAGTTTTATTTCGGAAATTTGAATTTCCCGTTTACGCGGTGAAAACCCCCATTTTTACCTCCAGATTGTATTTCCCACTTGAAAGGACCATAAATGTCGTTGGTTCGTTCTCTCTTTTAATAAGCTATTTAGTGACGTTTTCTAAAGACATTTTTATGTTGTATATATACGCTTGTGTTGTGTGCTTGTGGTTGTTCGTGCTTCTGGCTGCTTGTGGAATATACCTTTCCCTCATTTGAACCAGGTCTTCTCCCTCTAGTTAGCTGGGCTGGGACACATCGGGAACAGTTAAGCTTATCTTGTCGCTGTGTCTCCGCTTTTTCGTTTTGTTCGCCGACTTTAGGTGGTCTCCTAATTTCTTCAAACATAGCAATTTAGCGAGTAAGACATTATGTAGATTGAACCACGGATTAATTTTGTTGAGACAACCAATGAAAACCATGAAAGATCAGTAAAACTTTGGTACAGGATACTCAATCAAATCTGTTGACTCAAGTAAAATTTGAAAAATAGGGATCTCATTTTGTTATACTGAATCTTATAGTAAATGAACCCTGTTAACGAGATTTACCTGTATCCTAGCAAGCATAGATGTACTCGTTGTGTTAAACGCTGAAATATTATATCCTACCTTATGCTATTTACATCAAATATTCATGTATAGTGTATTGTACTGTTTTGTTACTGTCTTTGAACTTTTGAATATGTATATATATTCACTGTAAGCGAATTGCACGATCAGCTACAATATTGATTAGAAATAAGCTTAGAAATAAGATAGTGAAAAGTTAACGATTGGTCATGCCAAAAACAAATAGATTCAAGGAGATTTATTTCTTATCGTTTATTATTATTTACATAATTATAAATATATTTCCTTGAAGGCGATTTTCTTCATGAACTCTGATATTATAAATGAAAAACTATTGAATATCAAAGAGTGCACAACAATTGTTTCATTCTAATTTGATAGCATTAAAAAAATGCGTATTCATAATAACAGATAAGTGTAAACCTAAGTTTCACATCAAACATATTCATTTCAAGTAGTTGCTAAGTTGGTGAAAGATCGAAAAATTTACATTTTCAACTGTATTCAAATTTTTGACATATCATTACACTTACTCAATATTCAGTTGATCTCAGTTAATTATTAAAATTGTCTATCAATTATACAAAGTCTTCACAATTTTATCCACCTTATTGATATTAATCTGAAATATGCAGTGACTTTTTAATTGAGGATTTAAGTAGTATTTATTCAGTAAGTAGATCAGTCAGTCACTCAGACAAATATATACTGGTAGTCATTTTTTTTCATGGATAAAGTATTTTTTTTAAAAACACTTTTCATTACAGATTTTGATAAATGTGAAGAATTGACTAATTAATTATGCTTGTTCTATTCGAAGAGGAATAATTTATGCATTATAATCAGTACCAACATACTATACACATTTATCATTGAATAAACTGACTGAATAACTAATCAGTGATATAGATAATCTGACATCTTATATACTTGCTTATCTATGATAGTATGAATGTTGTGCAAAAACGCTCGATACTTTTGTTATTATTATCACTGGTGACTATGGTAAGTGCTGTGTTTGAACATTTAGACATTAATTTGTTAATCACTGTCTAATCTCTAAAAGTCATCATATCTTAAAATCCAAATATCTATCAGAATTCAGGAAGTAGCAAAAAGATTTTAACTCAGGGGTTTGGTTACTGACAAAATGTAAGTGTATAGATAGGATCATTAGTGACCCTGAGATCCAAGAATCTTCTAGAAAATATGGTAAAATTGGCAACGAATTAGATTAAGGAAAGCACAGTCCGTCATTTTCTAGATTTCTTTTAGAGGTTTAGTAAGAGTGCTGATTATCTGAAGTAATTTCAGAATTTACACAAGATTCTACTTTTTTTAGGGAAACAATTAAGGGGTTCCAATAATTAATAATGGTGACAATTTTTCAATCATGAACAATTTAGAACAGCACGAATGTGTACAAGTCAACATAATTCATATCGGTAAAGTATGTGAAGTTAATCAAACGAGATGTAAATGGATGAAAGACTAAAAGCAGAAAACACATAGTTTAAAAAAGATTGGATAATGAAGGGTACGCAACAGAATTACGACCAAACATCGATTCCGAGTCATATTTTATCAAGTGTGCATTACCCGATATGGTCAAATGCATTAGTATATGAGTTCATAAATTGATATCAGATCTTCATTTACTACCTTTAACCTTCTTCCAACCCACTTCAATGCTACTAGCCATTAACGCATATCAACGTAGGTAATAACTGATAATTGATAAAGTACATCCTAATCTATTAAGCTAATAATATTCCTTAGTATCATGAAGCGATTCACCGTTATTACCTACTACTTTAATCGTAATTTCAAAATTAAGCAATGAGTGATTTCATCATATATAATCAATGTTTAGAAAGTATCTATGATTCATCTATAATAAACAAACAAGTATAATGTTTAATTA